AAGACAGAATGACCCTAAGTCCCCAGTGACATTATGGAGTGACTCTAACAGCCCAAAATTACCTATGAGTTAATGAGCTGATCCCTTTGTTTGTTTTTCAGAAACAGGGTTTCTCTGTGTAGCCCTAGCTGACTTAGAACTCAATCTGTAGACCAGCTGGCCTTGAACTCAGAGATCCACTTATCTCTGCCTCCCAAGTGCAGGGACTAAAGGCATGGGCTACTACACTGGGCTCAGCTGATGCCTCTTAAAAAACCAAACAAGCAAACAAGCATCCTGTCTGAATTTAATCCACTGTAACCAGGTGACTCTTCTGTGATGGGATACACTGTCACCCGAGATGCTCTTAAGGCATTGCATGCTGAGACAGTGAGTGGGTACAAAGGGCTGGAGCCCCTTGAAACAGTGAGACTCATTTGGAGGACTTTGTGGGAAAGGCAGATTCTGAGTCTGCGGTCAGGCCTGTGGCCTGAGATTCTGGGTGTTTCACAAGCTTGTAGGTGATACTGATGGAGGAGATCCTGGACCACTCGTGGAGGAGAAAAGATCTGGAGAATGGAAGCCCTTTAGTGATTGCATCCTCATAGGCTTTCTATTCAGCTTAAAAGAAAAAAGCTCCATGAATCTCAATTTCAACAAAGTCGTTTATTTAGGATATCATTTTTGAGACAAAAAGCAGTTCATTTATTTTATTCAGCAAAATAAACTTAACAAATCCATTTAAATAAAGTAAATTCCAGACTCTGTAAATCTTTTTCTTGGCTACTTGCTTTTCTGTTACATATAAAATTTGAATGACTCAAATGCACCTGTGTTCTCATTCAACCACCAGTGAATTAAATGAATCAGAGGGAAAGGGACACGGGGAATCGGATTTAGGAGATATTTTCCCTGCCTGTTCTGATATCTTTTCAATAGAAGCCTGGAGACTCTGAAATGGATGGTACATGTGAATTGCTACTGGAAGGTGATGGCCAAAGGCAAACAAAAAAATGTTCCACACTATCTTTCCTTAAGATACAAAGGGAAATGCAAGCCACGCCCCTTTCCCAGCCAAGCCGTTGCTACACAGAACTGCATTTAGCTTCATGTTTTCTGTTTTAGTTATATACATTTAAAAAAAAAAACACGTTGTATTAAATAGCAAAACAGCAAACAATGGGACATTCAACACTGCACTGAAACATCAAAACAGCCTGGGTAAGCCGAGTCCAGCGGGGAGCGGGTGGAGTTCACCGTGTCAGCGAGCGAGGTTGCAGGTGCCCGGCTCCCTAGTCTGTAACAGACCTGCATTCGGAAGGCAAGCCTTCTGAGCGCCGCCACTGGGCCAGACGCTGCTTAAACCATTTCTGAAAGAGAGAAATGTGAAAAATTACCTGTCACATACCAAAAAATTGAAATGTCTATTTCATTTCTAAGGGTAGCCTGTGTGGCCCAATCGGGAAGGAGAGAAGCAAGGGATGCAGGGATGGTCCTCTCGCCATGACACCAACCTTCCTTGCCTCAGGAATCTGCGCATGCCACATATTTGTCATCAGATTCTCTCTCTCTCTCTCTCTCTCTCTCTCTCTCTCTCTCTCTCTCTCTCTCTCTCTCCCTCAGGTCTCAGCTTAAACAAGACCACTCTGTTAAAAGTAGATTCCCTTTATTTTCTGCTTTACTATTTTGTTAACTTCATAGGACTTTCACTATCATTACTTTAATTGCTTGCATACACTCTTCTAGAACGTAAGATCCGTGAACTCCACGGCTGTTTTCATCTTAACATCATCTCATCTTACTCCTTACACAAAGTCTCAAGATGTAACTGATTAATGAATGTTGGATGAGTGAATAAAAGAAACTGAAACAACTCCTTGTTTCTTGATGTCCCAGAGGATTTCTAGTCTCTGGGTTCGATAACCCATGATGGGTGCTGATGTCAACATGGGCTTTGCTCCTTAGTAGTATCCTGGTCAAATTTTGTTCACTAAACAACTCATAACTAAGCATTAGGCAACCTTGGACCACTATTCCTTAGGAATCCATGGAGTGGCCCGCTGAGCAGTGAGAGAATGTTCAGTGTCTCCGAATTATCCAGCTCAGTGTCACTCAAATATTTACCCCTTACCAATGCCAATACCGCTGGGGGGTTGGGGGGAGGACCTAAATGAAAGGCTTCTAGAATAGTGCTAAGGGAGGCCAAGGGCATTTCTGTAAGCTATAAAGCACTGTGGCACACTCTCAACACATTGGCTGCCTTTACAATATTACTTCAGATTGAGGGTCTTAGAGACAATGAAATTAAAACTGTGCTGGGGGACAAGACTAGCTCTGAACCAGGAGGTCAGAAGGAAGCCGGGATTTGAAGAAACCAGCTTTGAAAGGCACTGTTGAGAAAATAGAAGCAGCAGGCTTCTCTCCTTGGGAAGACAGAATGAGCAGTTTCCCCTTGAGCCTGGCACCTCATGTGTCATGGAGAACATGAGTAATGGTCAGATTGCGTAGCATTGGTCTAATCGGTCAAGCTGCTCGAGTAGGTGAGCATTGCAGGTTCAGCCAATAGTCAACTCTACTGTCACTGACTGGCCGCAAAAAGTCCCTAAGAGCACTGTCAGTTAGTCAGCTTACCTGCAAACAAAGAGGTAAGTTTTGGAGGCCTCTACTGTCCTTTGTGGGGTTCCTAATGTTTACCTAGTCTAAGGGTAAGAAGGTGAAGGAAGAAAGTAGTGATGTAATACAGCTGCTGTGGGGTGTGCTGACAGAGGTGGCCCCAGTGGGAAACATCAGTTCAGCACTCATGTTCAGCCTCATAAGTAGGCTGGGCCCCATTGGAGAAGAGCTGGTCTCTGCTGAGATCTAAGGAGCCCAAGATCAGAAGAAAGGGTGTGAACCACAGGACGGAAGAGCCGCTAACAAGCAAGTACTGGGGATAGGCTGTCACTCAGGAAAGGGGTTTGAGGACTGCTTAGTGGGCTGAGCACATGCTGTCAGGACTCAGGTTACCCACCTGAGAGTTTACCCGCTGAGGCCTCATCCCTGTGCCAGGACCAATTAGTTGTCTCTCCACCCTTATCCTTGGGTGGCAGCAGAGAAAAGCAATAGAAGGTGACCACCAGAGGGAAGCCTGCTCTATAGGGCTTGCTCCATGGATGTCTCATTTCACTCTGGGAACCACTATTTTTTTTCTCCATCTGTCTTATTTTTTATTTTTCCTTTCTTTTCCTGTTATTGTTTTGAAACAGGCCCAAGTAGCACAGGCTGTCCTTGAATTCATTGTGCATCTGGAGATCTTGCCCCTCTGCTCCTCCTGCTTCTACCTCCCAAACACCGGGGTTGCAGGTGTTCTCCGTGCCTACTTTAGTCTCTGCTGAAGATGGAACCTATGGCATGTACCAAACACCGGGGTTGCAGGTGTTCTCCGTGCCTGCTTTAGTCACTGCTGAGAACGGAACCTATGGCATGTGCGTGCTAGGCAATCGCGTACCAAATGAACATCCCGTGGCTATCACTAATCTTAAGGTGAGGGGAGGGCTCATGTGACGGTGACTTCAACCCAACTTTGATTGTGACCAGTGGGCACGTTTTCTTCTTTTAATCTGTGTGTGCTCACTCAAGCCTGTGTCTGCTTAGAGAGCAGCATGGCGCCAACTTCATTAATGAGGTGATGGGCTCATGTGACGGTGACTTCAACCCAACTTTGATTGTGACCAGTGGGCTCGTTTTCTTCTTTTAATCTGTGTGTGCTCACTCAAGCCTGCGTCTGCTTTGAGAGCAGCATGGCGCCAACTTCATTAATGAGGTGACTGAGGGGTTTTCAAATCTGCAAGTGCTGATTAAATAGGATTTCCAGGGACTAGAGCTGAATAAATGGCAGCATTTTAAAGACTAATTAAAACCTAGAAGGGAGTGGGGTGGGGGGACTCACTTTCTATTAGGACTCATTTAAGACGAAGTGGTTAAGCTGGCCTCATTCAAAAGAGCCACCCGAATCTTCACATGCAGAATACTGATGGTACCCAAAATAGCTTTGACCTGGACCACATTGGTGAGTTTGCAAGGTACCATCTAAATGCTTAACAAATTGAGCCCCAGCACTGAGAGATGGGAAGAGATGTGAAAACGCTCAGCTGTTTTCTGAGTGTGTGTTTGTACATATGTGTGTGTGTGTGTGTGTGTGTGTGTGTGTGTGTGTGTGTGTGTACACACAGTCAATGGAGGTTATACATCATAATTCAGCAGGCCAGCTGCTGGTTACAAAAATGCACTCCATCTCCTGCTAGCTCCTCTACTGTGTAGCTCTGGATCTTGTAGCTTCTGACTCACATAAATCCTAATTTTCCACCTGGCTTTGTCTCTGTCTTTCTTTGTGTCAGCCATCCCCTGGGAAAGACATTCATCCCTTCTTGCTATGAATGGGTGCTCTCATTACCCCTGCTCATTGATGGAAATTTATTTACTCTGAGTGAACAGATGATAATTGAACACTGGGGTTGGGAGGGGTTGGGCCAAAACAACATTGTTCTTGTCTTTTTCTTTAGCCACTAGCATTTTGTTCTTTTCAGAGCGAGACCTTTAGAGGTCTTATCCCACTGATAAAACATGCAACAACTGAAAACACTGGATCCTGGGAACAAGTCCAGAACACCAAAAAAGAGATAAAAATACTGGGAACTTCTTCAAGAACCAATGCCAACTGCACTGTGTGTGTGTGTGTGTGTGTGTGTGTGTGTGTGTGTGTGTGTAGACGCTATCATCCCAATCTCCCAAGACAAAAATGAGGTTGTGTTCCCAGCCTCCTTTACATTGACCTCTATACAGCGAAAGCCACAGGGAGTAGGATTCTGTAGGATTTCATTTAACTTAAATGTAGTAGATATACAGTGACTAGTAATGAGAAAAAAACCCTCTGAAGATCCCAACAAGTACAACTAAAGAAGTCCTCTGACTATGAGGCCCTCACTGTATATTGAGTTCCTAGAATTTGGTTTCATAGTGAACTGTTACAAAGAGGTCTGCGGATGTACTGGTGACTCATAAACACCAGGCCTGGCTTTTCATACCATTTTGTGAGATGTGCCCCCCTCACACCTTATTAGGATGTTGGTATATTACCCATTTTCATGTGGTGGGGGGGAGAGAGAAAAAAGGTCCACAAAGGTCCCCAGCCAGAACACTTCTGCCTCTGCTCTTTCTCGCCTTTGCCAAAGCACCAACAGTGTGAACCAGTAACTCCCTCTCAAGGGTAGATCATGTGTATTCCTCTTTTACTAACAATACTTACTTTAGGGAAAGAATACAGTGCTGGCTATTGTGATACCTGTCTATAATCCCAACAATGAGCAGCTGAGGCAGGAGGATTGTGAGCTCATGGCTGGTTTGGACTACATAGGAACACCCTATGTCTGTCTCACTCTCTAAAACGGGGTGGGGGGGATCTTATTCGAGCTCTGGAAATGGCAGGTGTCAGGATGGGAAGATTTCAGGTGCAATGTGGTGAATATCGTTTTGTCTGGGGGAGGACCACACTAGTAAGGAGGAGAGGCAGGGGCTGTGCTGACAGCGGGCATCACAGATAGGTGAGAACCAGCAAGCGCTGGCCTCCGCAGAGCTCTGTTAAGCATCCCTAAAGACCTGCTACAGATGAAATCAATTGTCTTATGTCTGCAGTCTCATCACTGAACTTTGTGTCTGCAGAAGACACTTTCCTTTTTGCAGAAGACGTCCTTTAAAATGTAAATGTTAGAGAAGAAAATACAATGACTTTCATATGCCAGCGCACATGAAAGTGGTGTGTGGAGTTTAGAAAGGATGGGGAGACGGGACCCAGTCCAACCAGAAATGACAGGGCAAGCAGAAGCCTTGTTCCTGGGACTCGCTATGCTGAGAGTCTGCGCTCTGGGTTCCAGGTCTTCCCTGCAGGTCTAGACAGGAAGATGAGGGTAAGCTGAGCTGCAGCAAACCTCTGGAGGAAGAAGGTGTTGGCCCATGGCAGGAAGAGGAAGCCAGGCCCTCCCATGAGGCTGACTCACCCACACCCACCCTTGTCAGTCTGGCTGCACCATTTGTTCTTTTGAGGATAGCAGAAGAGACAAGACAGAAGAAGTAACATGGGCAGATACCTCTGCTGTGCAAATTTCCCCATCTGTTGATGTCAACCACTAGAAGACAGATGCCCTTTCTTCCAGCTCCAACTAGATTTCATTTCAAATCTCGAATAGCAGGTAACCCCGGAGGAAAGGTTAGCAGTAGCCTGGAATGACCGATGCTTAATGCACGGGTAATCTGATCTTTCTGTCCTTCCTTCCCATGTCACCACACACAGTTGTTCCCAACCTTCCTCTGTGAGGTAGTATAGCAAAGTGGCCCAGAGTCTAAAACATGGAACCAGACTGCTTCGGTCTCAGTAACTTAAGCTTTCTGTGACTTAGTTCCTTTACTGAGCTATCAGTGCTTTCTCTCCTAAAGATAGTGACAAAATAGTGGCGTTACACTTAGCAGTATCTGAAACAATACATGGCAAGTGTTTGTCACTCCAAAGGTCAGCAAGGGGCTGGTGGCGCAGCTCAGTGGTACAGGACATGCTCAGCAGGATCAAGGCACCACACACACACACACATGATGGTAAATGGCAGACAAACATGACTATTCTGTTTTTCAGGGTCAAGAGACTTGAAGGCTGAGTTGGGGTTAGATCCCTAGTTGGTACTATGTCCATAATATCCAATAGCCTAGTTCTTAAACAGGAGACATCTTTATGATCATTAAATATACTGTGTGTTTTAAAACTCTAATACTCCAACATCTTGCCTTTTCATGAGCTCCAAGGAACATGAGCTTTTAGACTTGGTTTCTTTGAAATCACCTTCTATTGGGTTCTGATTCTGACTAGACATCCTTTCTATTTGATCTGGCATCCCAGGATTACATCTGGGTAAATTCTCCAAGTTGCCCCAGGCATATTAAAGACCATCTAGGGCTTGGGGCTCAGGAGTTTGGTCCTAGGATCCCAGAAAGCCCTCATTACAAGGTTTTAAGCTTCAACTGAGCAGGGTGAAGAGAAGACAACTCCCCTCCTTCTCCAGTTTACTAACTGGGAGGGATAAGAATATCCCAGCTTCGGAGGGGAAAAGAGAAGTCAGAGTTTAGCTAGGACTAGACAGGGAAAGTAGGCTAAAGGCTCCAACATTGCGCCAGGCGGCGCTGCAATCTCTCTACCCTAAGCAATTTTCAGCTTCATGGGATAACAAGGGAACCTTTTACAAATAGACACATTATCATCGCTCAGCGGGGGGCTGTGCGCCACAGCGTCGGAGGGCTACCTTCTTGGAAAACTCCAGAGAAAGACTCTAGACCTCAGAACCAAGGGATTAATAAAAACAACAAAACCCGAAACAAACCATGGCAACCTGCCAGTTCGGTTGTGTAGCTGAGGAGATGCAGGCAGCACCGCGATGTGGTGATGTTCTGGGAAGAGCAATTTAACAACCCTGGCAGGTGTTCCGCCACCCCCGCCTTAGTTTCCCCGTTTGACAAAACCAAGGGCTGAGTTTATAGCTGATCGACAAAGGCCCTTCCAACTCTGACACCTCTGATGAAAATAAGCCTTCCTGAAGATCTCCAGCTCAAAGGAGAGAGTTACTGAGCTGGGAAACTGAAAGGACAACAAGATGCTCCAACCACCGAAGAAGAAAGCATGGACCTGGCTCTGGGAGCCAGAAGGAAAGCGGTGGTGGGATGGGGTTGGGGTGGAGGTGGATTGGGCGCCCGGGGAGCTGCGGAGTAATGGATGCATGGACTGGGATCCGTGCAGTGGAGGCCCGCGAGAGGCGCGGGGGCCCCCAC